TTTTACTGCGGGTGCAACGCCCCCTCATCCTCGGAGAGTGGGGCTGTGCTCCGCCGCCCCAGTCGTGTTGTACACCAATATCTTGACAGGCCGCCGCCCAGCCGGCACGCACTCTGCGTGTAACGGTGCGGCGGTGGTGGCGGGGCAATGAAGGCGGCTTTGTTTTGTTTTTGTTTCCCATGTTTGCTTGATTGATTTTCGACCCGCCCTCGTCCATGAATTTTCTTTGTGTGTTGGCTTGGCCCTCCTCTCCTGCTGCGGTTGAGCCCTGCTGCCGGCGGCTTCACGGGGCCGCTGGTCCGTGGCGGCGGCGGCGGCCTGCACACGCTCACGCACCCACCACTCTCCCCAACACGTCACGGTCTGTCGAGGAGCGCCGCAGCGGCAGTAAGGGCGCCAGTAGTGTATGGGACGCACGGCCGGCGGGCCGCCACCGCGGCGCGGGGCGTTGACTGGCAGGCAGTCGGGCGCCGGAGGGGGTGCCCTGCGGAGGTGGTTGCGGCGCTGGTCGTCGTGCTTTGGTGCGGTGTTTGGAGGATGGAGATTGTCTGTTATGTGTTTGAGGTTGTTGCCGCAGCTGTACTGTTTTTGTTTTCTTTCTGGCGTGTTTGTCCCTGTAGTTGTTGTTTTTTTGTCTGGCTTTCTGTGGTTTGTGTTTGGGGCGTTGTTTGCTGCTGCCGCTGCCGCTTCTGCTTGACTGTCATTGGTGTTCGGGCCGAGGATGCTGCTTGTGTTGTGTCGTTTTGTTCCTCCTGTTTGCTTTTTGTCGTGGTGTGTTGCGATCGCCGCTTCGGTCGCCCCACACTGCCGCTGCGGAGTTACACGTTCGTTGCTCTTGGCGTGGGAAGGAGGTGGTGGGCGATGCTCAACAGCATGGCAGCGGCGTCCGGTGTGGCCGGGGCGGGAGGCGCAGGGGCGAGGGGTGGCGGCGGAAGAAGAGGGGCGGCTGGCGCCAGTCGCCCGCGGCGGCGTGCCTGGCACTGCCCCGCGTGTTTGCACGACAGCGTCGACCCCCGTCGCGTGTGCGGCGGCTGTCTCGCGGTGGAGCCGGGCGTGGCGGGGAACCTCCCGCGCGGTGACCGCGCGGTGTCGGAGGATCCGACGGTGCATATTTTGACCCTCCCGCATGGGCGCTGCTACCGCGTCGCCGCCGCCGAACTGCACGGCCGCCCGCCAGCGGGCGGCGAGGCGGAGGCCCTCGCAGAGAGGCGGGGCGGCGACGTTGGCCGCAGCGACAGCGCTCCGCGGACGACGACGGTGTACACGCACTTCGTGTCGCTCCCAATTGGAAAGTTGTCTGCCGTGCGGCCGAGTGCGACGCTTCTGCTGCAGGCGATGAAGCAGCGCTGCCTCGATCCGGCGGCGAGGGTGACAGACGACATTTTCACCACAGCCCAACGCATGCACCTGACTCTCCTCATGTTGTCGCTTCCAACACAGACGGAGGTGGCGCTGGCCAAGGCGTGCATGGAGGCGCTGGAGAAGAGGATAGGGCAGTGGCAGGAGACATGCGGCGCAAAGGCTGTCGACACCGGTAACGACAAGTGCGGCGCGTTGCAGATTCATCTCTGTGGTCTGCATGTGATGAAGCGACGGGGAAGGGATGTGAAGAAGGCAGATGTGTTGTACATGGGGCTTGCGGATGCCGCGTCGACTGCGCTTGTCACCAAGCTTCAGCAGCTCGTGCAAGAAAGCTTCGCGGAGCTCACCATGAACGACCCGTGTGGAAAGGAACGGAGTGGGCTGCTGCACATCACGCTGCTGAACAACAAGTGGAGGGGCGGCGAGGCGGCACAGGGTGGCCGTGGGGCGGCGGGGGCGCCGCCTCCTCGCGTGCCGTTCGACGCCACACGCATACTGCAGGAGTTTGGGCATGCAACACTCCGCGGCGGCGGCACCGATGGCGCCATCGCGTTGGAGTGCATAGAATTGAATGCCCTGGGCTACGACGCCGAGCATGAGTGTTATCACTGCGAGTGCGCTACTGGCCTGTGCTTTACCCGCTAGTGGATGCCTGCTTCCCAAGACCGTTGTTTATTGTTCCTCATTGGGCGGTGTTGGTTGTGCCTCCCGCGTGACACTGATGCGGCGCTGGACGACGGCTGCGGTTCCAGTGTTTCTTTATCTTTATTCTCTCTCCCTTCTCGGCAGCGCAGTTGCCTTTCTCTCTCTCTCTCTCTCTCTCTCTCATGCACACAGACACTATCTTTCTCTCTTTGCATTGTCCCTCTATTTTGCCTGCGCGGGGTCGATGGCGCTGTTCCATGTGCGTGTGTGTCTGTTCTCAAGCAAGCACGGCCGCGACTGTGTTCCCCGCCGCGTGTCCGCCGGCGCCGCGGTAGGCGCATGCCACGCGGCCGCGCCCTTCCCATGTGGAGGGGCGCGACATCTTTGATGGGCCTCCCTCGCTCTTTGGTTCCGCCGCGGGCGGGTGCCGCAATGGCCGTTTCGTGTCCTTCCTGCCGTGCTTCACCGGTGGCAGCGCGAGGGCAGATAGCGGCCAGAGAGACGCCGCACTCGGCACCACCGCACTGCGTGCAGTGCGGCTTTTCTCCCCCCCCCCCCACTCCACCCCGCTCTTTTCTTGTCCGTGCTGTGGGCGTCGACGACCCAGCACCACCACGCACCGCTGCCTCAGCCGGCCACGTGCATCTCCCGCCTCTTGTTCTTTCTTTTTTTTTCTTCCACTTCTTTCCGGTGAGACGAGTGCAGGCGACTTGGCATGGCGGGGGCACGGCAGCCTCGGGCTGCTCCCCGCAACGACACCACCGTCACGGTGGCGCTGCGCCGTCGTCTGCTGCAGGGCTCTGACGACGCCAACGCCGCGGTGGTGCGGGTGAGTTGGCGCCGCCGCGACCTCGCGCTGCGGACGCCGCCGCCGTGGCGGCCCTCGCGCACTGCCGGTGCGGAGAAGTCGAGGGCGCAGGGCCGGGGGCCGCGGAAGGGTCAGCCGCTGTGCGCCAGGTGTCGGCTCAGCAGGCGGGAGTGGCAGTACTGCGGCCTAACGGGTGAGCAGCACGTCGTGGAGGAGTAGCGGCACACAAACCTCCTTTCTTCCCGCGCCTCTCCCTGCGCGTGCGAGGACGAGAGAGAAGCGGCAGCGCGCGCGCGCACACACTCACACACACAGTGAGAGAAGGAAGGCGAAGGAACCCATACGACATGAGGGATGCGGATTGCCTCATATATATTTATTTATTGATCTCTTCCCCGCGTCAACCTCGTTTTTATGCTGGACAGTGCTTACTTTTCTGTGCGCTCCACGCCCTTGTGTGTGTGTGTGTGTGTGTGTTTCCGTTGTAGTTGCTGTTTCTTTCTTGCCTCTCCTATTATTCTTCTCTTTGTTCTCCCTCTTGCGGCGGGGCGGGGCGGCGGTTCTCAGCACACATCGGAGGCGGCGGGTGTGGCGGAGGCGTCAGGCTAAGCACCACCCGCAACCGCAGCCGGCGCGAAAGCTTCCACGAAGAAGAGAAATAGGGGGAAAAAGAACAACAAACAAAATAGTAGAGATGAGCGGAGACCCCGTCCGTTCGGCGGCTGCAGCCAACGCGCAGGACAGCACGCGAGCGCGGGGCAGCGCGGTGGTCTTCGACGGCATCTCCCAAGCGGCGGGGACGACGGCGAGCACTGCGCCGCCCTCCAGCCGCCCCGCCGCCGCCAACGCGGGGGGCGGGAACAGGGAGTGCCTGGCCCCGCGCATCACCCCCTGCCCGCAGTTTGACCGCCTACGCGCCGCGGCCCGGGAGGACCGCCTGGCCCGCGCCTACCTGCAACTGCAGGAGGTGAAGCGCACCGCAGAGCTGTGCGAGCGACAGACGCTTCTCTCGCAGCGCGTGACGATGCACGAGTACTACGCCACGCTGTTCCGGCCGTCGCGGGCGGGCGCCGCCGCCGCCGCCAGGACTCCCACCTTTGCCTCATCGTCCCCCGCGGGTACCCTGCGCCCCCGCGACGTGGTGCTAAACGACTTGGAGGAGTCATTCATTGCGTGCTACTACCGAATGCACCCCGCCGCGCTGCAGCGCAAGCGGGAGGCGGAGGCGGCGGAGGCGCAGCGGCGGCAGTCCGCGCAGGTTGCGGCGCAGCTCTCGTCCTTCTCCGGCGCGCTGCCACGCTCGCGGAGTCTCACGGCGCAGCGAGGCCCAAAGTCTACTGGCAAGAAGAAGTCAAAAGGGAAAGGGGAGGAAAAGCCAAAGGAGGGGGCTCCGGCGGCAAACCTTCGTCTCCTGCTGGCCGCCTTGTTGGAGGCCTCCGACGACCGCGGCCTTATTACGTGCGACGCCCTCGCCGTGGTGCTCAAGCGGCCGCCGTTTGACGTGCACGACGCGGAGGCTGTGGAGGCGTTCTTCTACCTTGTGCGCGCCGCCTCCACGGTGACGGAGACCGGGGAGAGCGAGACGGACCGCCGGCTTGAGGCGTCCACCAGCGCCAGCACCCTCGCCCCACGCGTGCGGCGGCGGAGCACGTCGCTGCGCGTGTCGGCGGCGATGGTGACGGGCACGCCCGGGGGGATGGGGCTCTCCACCCCCCTCACGAGCACTGGGACGCTGCCGACGAGCCTGCGGCGCCTGGCACAGGGGTCGGGGGCGAGTCAGTCCCTTCAGCGCCGCGCCATCCCCACTTCGCGTGCGTCGAAGGCTGCCGCTGCGTCTGTAACCGCCCTCGGCGGCGGCCCTGCCGCCGCGACGGAGCCCCCTCCCCCTTCGATGGTCCGCGCACGCGAAGTGCTGGCGGCGATGGATGCCGTCATCAATGGCCCTGAGCTGCGCGACGTGGTGCGGTCCCTCTGCTTTGACGTGCTGGAGAGCGACGGGTTTATCCACAAGACAACCCTGCGTACCCTGCGCCTTGTGCGCCGCGAGGCCTGCGAGGCGAAGGACGCGGCGGCGACGCCCTCCATCGTGAAGGCGCTCGGCGACGCGCTGGAGGTGATGCTGCAGGAGGAGGAGGATGAGTACCTGCGCTCGCAGGCGAAAGGAAAGCGCCGCGCGAAAGCCGCCAAGGCGGCGGCACTGCCGCCGCACCAGAAATCTGCCGTTCCGCTGCACATGATGCGCCGCTCGCACATCAATCTGAAGCAGTTCTCCCGCTTCTTCGACGAGCTTCCGATGGTGGCCGCGGCCTTTGCGCACGTGTGGTTTCCCGCCTTTTTTTCCACGAACTGGCCCCCTGTGAAGCGGCCGATGAGCACCGGCTTCAACGACGACGCCGCGCCGGACGAGGATGACGAAAACAACACCAACAACGCGGGGGAGGGCACGTCGGAGGAGTCTGGCCTCCGGCGCCGAAACGCGGCCCGGCGGGTGGTGACGGAACGACTCGAATACATGAAGCCAGTCTCCGTTCCCGCGAGTGAGGGGACGTCGCAGCGGTAGGCCGGCGGCACGGCGAGAGCGAGGGCAAAAGAGAGGGAGCAGGGAGTAGGAGGACATCGAAGTCAAACCCCTCCCTGCGTGCTGACCGCCGCCTGCTGTTGCCGCGCTCCGCGGCGCGTGTTTCTTGGGGACCGGTTTTTTTTTTTTTGTCGTTGCCTGTCGTGGTGCTCGCAGGGAAGGGGCGACCCCTCCCACCCGCTCAGTGAGTGGGAGCTCACAATGTGGGAATGTAAATTACGTGGTGAAAAGCGCACGCGGCAGAAGGAATAGAAAGAAAGAGAGAGCGAGCGAGCGAGAGAGAGAGAGAGGGGGAATGCAGTAGACAAGGCGTGGTCGCGCTGCGCCTTACTTTTCTTCTTACGTGCGCCTCACCCTCCTCCTGCTCCTCGTGAGCCCGCGGTGCCGGCCGCCGGTGCTTGCCTGTGTCTGTGGCGGGGGCGACGCTCTCCCTCCTGCAGGTGCCCCACGCCGCTTAACTGTGTCCCTCGCTTGTTGCTTGTTTTTTTCCCCATTTTTTTTTTGGGGGGGGGAGCGGGAGGGACGCTGTCGTTTGTTCCCACGCCCCTCACCTCTCCTTAGCGTCACACACCCGTGGAACGTGGGCAAAAAAAAGGTGGCTAAGAAGTACGAAGTGAAGTTGGGCGTGGTAATTCTGTTTGGCTGTGTGTGTGTGTGTGTTGGCTGGGGAGACGCTGCCCCTTCTTCTTCCTCTTCCGCGTGACGGCCGCCGCGCGCAGCCGCGATGAACCCTTTGGCGGCCGCATCACCCTCACCCGCCGCCGGCGCGGACACGCGCGTCGCCGAGCTCGCCGCCCTGCTGCCGGAGGGCTGGGCGGAGGACGGCGGCGTCGTCGCCCGCACGCTGAAGGGCCTGCTGCAGAACCCCTTCTTCAGCGCGGGGGCGGGGCTGTACCTTCTCACCTTTGCGGGGGCGGCGGCCCGCTCCTTCTCCGCCGCCATGCAGACGGCGGTGCGGCGCCGCTTCGTCGTCTCCATGGAGGTGACGAGCCAGGACGAGAGCTACGTCTGGATGGTGCGCTGGCTGGCGCAGAACCCGGCCTTTTACGTGCAGCAGATGAGCGTCACCACCCGCAACACAACCATCTTCTCTAACGACGAGTCCTCGCACGAGTGTCTCTACGCGCCCTGCACGAATGTGCGGCACTGGTTTTGGTACAGCGGGCGGCCCATTATGCTGCAGCGGCGGCGGGTGGAGACGCAGGCGATGGGAACCGACGTGCTGGAGACGATGCAGCTGTCCACCATAGGCCTCTCCGCCACCGTCATGAAGGACATTTTGGAGGACGCCCGTCAGCTCACGTCGATGCGGAACAGCGACCACACCGTGCTGTACCAAAACTCAGGGGGGCGCTGGACGCGGCAGGAGCCACGGCGACGTCGTCCCCTGCACTCGGTTGTATTGGACGGGAACACGAGTGCGGATATTCTGAAGGACGTGCAGCTCTTCCTGCGGTCCAGCAAGTACTACGAGGACCTCGGGGTGCCGTATCGCCGCGGCTACCTTCTGCACGGCCCCCCAGGCTGCGGAAAGAGCAGCTTTGTGATGGCCCTGGCGGGGGAGCTGCGCCTCTCCATCTGCCCGCTAAGCCTCTCCAGCCGCGGCCTCAGTGACGAGGCGTTGGTGGGGCTGCTGAACAGCGCCCCACTGCGGTCGATTGTGCTGCTAGAGGACATTGATCGCGCCTTCAGCGCCGACAGCCACATCACGATGAGTGGGCTGCTCAACGCCCTCGACGGGGTGGCGGCGCAGGAGGGGCGGCTGGTGTTCATGACGACAAACCACGTGGAGCGGCTCGACGACGCCCTCATCCGCCCCGGCCGCTGCGACGTGAAGTTGGAGATTGGGCTGCTGTCACGCGGGCAGGCGCAGCAGCTGTTCCGCAAGTTCTTCCCGGCCGCCGGTGACGCCCTGCAGGCCGAGTTTGCGGGGCAGATCCCCGCTCACACGCTGAGCGTCGCCCAGATCCAGTCGCACCTCTTCCTCCACCGCGACTGTGCCGCGGAGGCGGTGCGGGCGTTGCCGGGGTTTTTGCAGACCGTGCGATCCTTCGAGACGCAACTGCGACAGGCGCGCGAGCGGGAGAAGTGCGTGGAACGGATGAAGCGGGCGCCGATGCTGCACAACCTCTGAGCGGGAGGCGACGTGCGTGACGGACGCCGCCCTCTCTCCCTCCTTCTCTGTGCACGTCCGTGTGTGGGTTGGCAGGAGAGTGATGGAGAACAAAACGCGGAGGAACAAAATGGAAAGGGTGAGACAGCCCAAAACGGGAAGAGGACCAAAATGGGTCTCCTGCAGAGCTTGCAGGCGCACACAGAGCGACTACGAGTGTAACACTGTGCGTCTGCGTGTGCGTGAGCGTGGTGGGGGGGGGGCGCACACGGCAAAAAGAAACAGAGAGGGGGCGAAGACGCACCCGCCTCCAACTCCTTCGCTGCATGGTGGCGGCGGTGGCATTTAACCCCTGCTCTGCATGTGCCCACGCACCGCCTCTCTTGACGCCCCTGCTCTTCCCGCGCATTATCTTTGGCAAGGCAAAGGTCCAGCCTCACGGAGGAAAGGGAATAGAAGGGAGCCATACACCCACACAGAAAGACAAAGTATGCCTTCCGGTAACGGTTGCCGTGCCACTCAGAGTGATGCGCGGGAGCAGGGCGCCGCAGACTCGGCGGAGGGCCTGAAAGAGCACGAGGAATCCGAAAAAACTGTGGAGTTCACGTATTTAATGCGCGGATGTCCGGTGAGGGTGCAGCTCCCGGTGCGGAAGGTGGACAAGGCACACCGCCAAGGCGAATAGGTCCCTCCTGGAGCTCTTCCCCGCCTTTCAGGGCGAGGGCCACTAGGCGGGCACGCCCGTGCGGCGCCCGTAGCTCACGGAGGGGGAGGGCAACTGCCAGCGGGGAAAGCAGGAATGACAGTACCATGGCAACGAAGTTGCGAACGAGGAAAGTAGGGGAGGATGAGGATAAATGGGGCAAAGAGGTAAATGTACACCCCTGTAAATATACATGTATCTGCGTCGGGGAGTGTGTGCTGCCATGAGTACGTCGGACGCGGCGTTAAATCATAGTTTTGGGTTTGTTTGTTTGTTAGCCAATCGCCTTGATTTCTCCCTCCTTCGCTGCATGGTGGCGGCGGTGGCATTTAACCCCTGCTCTGCATGTGCCCACGCACCGCCTCTCTTGACGCCCCTGCTCTTCCCGCGCATTATCTTTGGCAAGGCAAAGGCCCAGCCTCACGGAGGAAAGGGAATAGAAGGGAGCCATACACCCACACAGAAAGACAAAGTATGCCTTCCGGTAACGGTTGTCGTGCCACTCAGCGCCGTGCGCGGGAGCAGGCCAAGCAGCAGAAGCAGGGCGCCGCACACTCGGCGGAGGACCGGAAAAAGCACGAGGAATCAAAGACAGCCGTGCAGTGTACAGTCTGCCTGCAGGGATTTCCACGGACGGTGCGGCTCCCGGAGCTGCAGCAGCACCTGGAATCCCGCCACGCCAGGGCGAATAAGTCCCTCCTGGAGCTCTTCCCCGCCTTTCAGGGCGAGGGCCACTAGGCGGGCACGCCCGTGCGGCGCCCGTAGCTCACGGAGGGGGGAGGGCAACTGCCAGCGGGGAAGGCAGGAATGACAGTACCATGGCAACGAAGTTGCGAACGAGGAACGTAAAGGAGGATGAGGATAAATGGGGCAAAGAGGTAAATGTACGCCCCTGTAAATATACATGTATCTGCGTCGGGGAGTGTGTGCTGCAGGCCGCCGCGGCGCTGCTGGAACTGAACAAGAAGGTCGCCATTGCGCTGGACGGCTGCGGCAGTCAGAAGGAGGGGGACCACCGCACCGCCATTCAGCTGCTGCAGTCGTGGTCGCGCGACGGGTGTTACGTCTCCACGTCGGAGTCTATCCTGATGCAGCTGCTGCAGGACGCGGGGGATCCCTTGTTTAAGACCGTCGCGCCGATCATGAAGCAGAAGCATCCAAAGCCTTTCTGAGGGCAGTGAAGGAAAAAAAATTCTCTTTGCTTTGTTTTTGCGTGGGCTGGCCCCCGCGTGTATGGATCGACTACTTGTTTTTTTTATTTGATAACTGCAAGCGTTGCTGGGTTTAAGCCGCCGTCTGTTCTGGTTTTTCCCCTGCATGTGTCGGCGTGCAGGGGCGGGGCGGCACACACTCGCGTGCGGGCAGGCATTGCGAGGCCGCAGCCGCCTGCGCCCACCTTCTTCTTTTTCTTCCCCACCGCTCTAATGTTTCCCTGCCGCTGCCGCCGCGCAGAGGGTGAAGCCACAGACAGGCAGGAACAAGAAGGCACTGCGGGCGCCAACAAAGACAAAGTAACAGGGACGCAGGCAGTGCTCTTGAGCGAGAATGTCGCGGTTGGTGAAGCACTACAGCTCCTGCAAGACGGCGTTTTTCTGCTGCGATATCCAAGAGAAGTTGGTGCCGCTTGTGGCAAACTTCGACAACTGTGCTTTTGTCGCCAACCGCTTTGCCGCACTGCACACTGCCCTGGGCCCGGCGCACAGCCTGTACGTCGTGGCGGAGCAGTACCCGAAGGGACTGGGGCCGACGGCGGCGGGCATCCAACTCCCCACAGACGCACACGTCTTCCCCAAGTTGCAAAGCCCGATGCTGGTGCCGGAGGTAACGGCCCTGGTTGACGTGCCGGAGGTGGAGCAGGTCGTGCTGTGGGGCGCCGAGACGCACGTGTGTGTGCTGCAGACCGCCGCGGCGCTGCTGGAACTGAACAAGAAGGTCGCCATTGCGCTGGACGGCTGCGGCAGCCAGAAGGAGGGGGACCATCGCACCGCCATTCAGCTGCTGCAGTCGTGGTCGCGCGACGGGTGTTACGTCTCCACGTCGGAGTCTATCCTGATGCAGCTGCTGCAGGACGCGGGGGATCCCTTGTTTAAGACCGTCGCGCCGATCATGAAGCAGAAGCATCCAAAGCCTTTCTGAGGGCAGTGAAGGAAAAAAAATTCTCTTTGTTTTGTTTTTGCGTGGGCTGGCCCCCGCGTGTATGGATCGACTACTTGTTTTTTTTATTTGATAACTGCAAGCGTTGCTGGGTTGAAGCCGCCGTCTGTTCTGGTTTTTCCCCTGCATGTGTCGGCGTGCAGGGGCGGGGCGGCACACACTCGCGTGCGGGCAGGCATTGCGAGGCCGCAGCCGCAGTCGCCTGCGCCCACCTTCTTCTTTTTCTTCCCCACCGCTCTAATATTTCCCTGCCGCTGCCGCCGCGCAGAGGGTGAAGCCACAGACAGGCAGGAACAAGAAGGCACTGCGGGCGCCAACAAAGACAAAGTAACAGGGACGCAGGAAGGAGTGAAATAACGCAACGCGTGGCGAGTGGGACACGGCGTTTTCATCGTCTTTCCGCGCGTGCGTGCGTGCGTGCGTGTGCGGATGTTCACACGGCTCTCGGCGTCGCTGCGGCGGGGCCACGCCGTAGGGGCGGCGCGGCATACGGCCCTTTTTACCTCCTGGCGGCAGGCCAGCGGTGGGGCGGGAAAACGGCAGTCTCCGCGACGTCCCTCGCAGCAGAAGCAGCGACGTGCGGCGAGTGCGGCGACCTCCTCCGACGCGTTGGCGAGGGAGACGGAGCGGCTGCTGGCGCGTGCCGTGGCGCCGCCGCTGTCGATGTCGCCGTCGGTGGTGTCCCCGCCGGCGACGCGGAGACGACGGCCGAGCGACACGCTGGGCGGGAGCGCCGCCACCGCTAGCCGCGCCGCGGGGAAGGAGGAGGAGGAAGCAGGCGGGGACGCCGCGGTGCCCGGGCAGAGTGCGCCGGCGGCGGTGGCGGGCACGAAGCCAAAGACGACGACGGAGACGAAGCGGACGCGGGGGAGGGCGGAGGACGGGGCTCAGCGGCGGCCCCTGACGCCTGCGGCCCGTGGCATAGACGTGCGCGTAGAGGCGGAGGAGGCGGAGGTGGACGAGGAAAGCGAGCAGCTCATGCGGCTCCTGCTAGATGAGGCGACGCGGCGGCAGCAGCAGCGGCGCGGCGCGGCCCCCGACTGCCGGGAGCCGGAGGACAACCTCTGCGAGGAGGAAGAGCGGCTTGCGCAGCTGCAAGGGGGGCGCCGCGCCCACGGGGGCGAAGATGCACCCGCGGTGACAGACCAGCCGACCGCGTCGCTGCCGGAAGACGCGGCGAAGGACGACGACGCCAACTGCGTGGACGAGCTCAGCGGGGAGCAGGGCCGTGCGGTGGAGCTGGCGCTGCAGCGCCGCAACTTGTTTGTCACGGGCGGTGCCGGGACGGGCAAGTCGCTCGTGATTCGCGAGATTGTGCGGCGGATGCGGCAGGACGGTCGCCGCTCCGTCTTTGTCACGGCCACAACAGGGGTGGCGGCCCTGAACGTGCGTGGCTCGACCATTAACAGCTTCGCCGGCGTGAAGTTCGGCGATGGCGCGGCGCGGGACCTGCTGAAGTGGGTGCGCCGCAACCGCCGCGCCGCGGGGCGGTGGAAGTACTGCCAGACCCTCATCATCGACGAGATCTCCATGATGGACCCCGAGCTGCTCGACAAGTTGGACTTCGTCGCCCGCGCAATACGCCGCCGCGCGGACGAGCCGTTCGGCGGCATTCACGTCATCCTCTGCGGGGACTTCCTGCAGCTGCCGCCCATTCCGCCGCGCCAAGGCCTGTGGTCCCAGCCGCAGCCGCAGGGCGAGGCCGCGGCGACGGACCGGGCCGAGGCCGGCGAAGCGGCGGAGGCGCGGCCCCAGAAGCGGTACTGCTTCGAGGGGGAGGCGTGGCGGGCGCTGGGGCTGACGACGGTGGTGTTGCAGCAGAAGTTCCGACAGAGCGAGGACGCCGACTTCCAGCGCGTCCTCGACGACGTGCGGCTCGGGGTGCTCTCGGCGGAGACGCATGCGATGCTCATGTCCCGCGCCGTCGCGGGGGCGACGAGAGCGAAGCCCCGGATAAGCGGCCGCCACGCCGACTCCCCGCACGATGCGGCGCCGGCGGAGGGGGACGGCGAGAGGTACGTGCGGCTCTGCGCCACGAACAAGGAGGTGGAGGCCCGCAACGCAAAGTACTTCGCCGCACTGGAGCCGCAGGCGCGCTACGCCGGCGATGCGAACGATGACGGGGAGGAGTTGGAAGATGATGTGCGTCCCCTGCAGGTTTACCGCGCGCTCGACAACTACGCCGAGGACGACGCCGCCCCCGGCCCGCCGTCGTGGGTGAAGTTCGAGGACAGCACCCTGCCCACGGAGCTGGAGCTGAAGGTGGGCGCCCGTGTGATGCTGCTGCAGAACATATCACTCCACCTGGGGCTGGTGAACGGGTCGGTTGGCGAGGTGACCGGCTTTCTGCACCCGCTGGAGCTTGTCGAGCTCGTCCTGCGGGCGCCCCGTGAGCGGCACCACGTCTCCGCCCGCGGGCAGGATCTGCTGCGCCGCGGTGGCTTCCCCACAATCAACGATGCCTTTCGCTGCGTGGACACGTCACTGGGGCAGTCGCTTTTTTGGTCGCTGCGCCAGCGCGGTCTGCGGCAGCCGGCGGAGGTGAGCTACGGCAGCGTCTACGGCAACGCACACCACCGGGAACTGCAGCAGCTCGTCGGCGTCTCGCCGCGGGCCTCCGTGCACCCGCTGGAGCTCTACCTTGGCGGCATCCCGCCGCCGCAGCTGCGCCGCACCCGACTGCCGGTGGTGAAGCTGGACCTGCAGCCGCAACACCTCCCCCTCGGCACCGGTGCGGCGGCGGGGACAGGCGGCGTGCGTCTGCCGCGGCACGTCTACGCGTTTGTGTCGCCCTACTCTCACCGGTGGTACATGGGCGATCAGGTGGTCGCGACGCGCACGCAGGTCCCGCTGCGGCAGGCCTGGGCCATCACGGTGCACAAGGCCCAGGGACTCACCATCTCTCACGTGGAGGTTGCGATGCACCGCTTCTTTTCACCCGGCCAGGCGTACGTCGCACTGAGCCGCGGCACGCAGCTGGAGAACATCCGCCTGCTGAACTTCAAGGAAAACAGCATCCGCGCCTGCCCCGTCGCAAAGGGCTTTTACGCCGCGCTAGCGACCGCAGAGCGGGGCGTGGACGAGGCTGACGTCTGCGTGGACTGACGCTGGCGAGGGGCAGAGCCGCGGTTCGCCCCACCGCCGTGTAGGACTGGGGCGAGTGCGCACTGCGGCACGGAAAAGAACACGTACGGCACAAGAGAAGGAAAAAAAAACGATAAGAAGAATTTTAAAAAAAAAAAAGATATGCACTTTGCCCGTTGGTTGTTTTTCATTTATTTATATTACATAGAGCGGGAGGGGCGTGCATAGACACACATGGATGGAAGGAGCGAAGGAGGGAAATTAGCCGAGGGAAGGTTTTTGCGTGTACATATGTGCACCGTACAATCATCGCTTCTTTTTTACTTCTAGCCAGTTGCACACGCCCACGCAAATACATATATACATATATTTATACTTTTCTGCTGAAGCCGGACCAGGCTCTTCTGCGGCGGTGGACTTTGCGCAGATAAGAATATATACACATAGAAGGTACATACGAAGCGGCCGGCGCCCGGCCACGGCTCGTGCCAGTTGGGACGCCCAGCCGTTTGACTTTTGTGTGTGGGGGAGAGCGAGAGCGGAAGCGAGCTACAGCAAGAAGAAAAAAAAAAAAGATGGGGCCTCTTCA